TGCACACAATTACAGCTAAGTGATGTAAACACGCGAACACTACTTGGTGATGTAAACACACGAACTCTACTTAGGGATGTAAACACACAAACACTACTTATTGATGTAAACACACGAACACTACTTAGTGATGTAAACACACGAACACTACTTAGTGATGTAAACACACGAACACTACTTGGTGATGTAAAAACACGAACACTACTTAGTGATGTAAACACACGAACACTACTTAGTGATGGATGCACACAATTACAGCTAAGTGATGTAAACACACGAACACTTCTTGGTGATGTAAACACACGAACACTACTTGGTGATGTAAACACACGAACACTACTTGGTGATGTAAACACACGAACACTACTTGGTGATGTAAACACACAAACACTACTTAGTGATGTAAACACACGAACACTACTTGGTGATGTATGCACACAATTACAGCTAAGTGATGTAAACACACGAACACTACTTGGTGATGTAAACACACGAACACTACTTGGTGATGTAAACACACGAACACTACTTAGTAATGTAAAAACACAAACACTACTTAGTGATGTAAAAACACGAACACTACTTGGTGATGTATGCACACAATTACAGCTTAGTGATGTAAACACACGAACACTACTTGGTGATGTATGCACACAATTACAGCTAAGTGATGTAAACACACGAACACTACTTGGTGATGTAAACACACGAAAACTACTTAGTGATGTAAACACACGAACACTACTTGGTGATGTAAACACACGAACACTACTTAGTGATGGATGCACACAATTACAGCTAAGTGATGTAAACACGCGAACACTACTTGGTGATGTAAACACACGAACTCTACTTAGGGATGTAAACACACAAACACTACTTATTGATGTAAACACACGAACACTACTTAGTGATGTAAACACACGAACACTACTTAGTGATGTAAACACACGAACACTACTTGGTGATGTAAAAACACGAACACTACTTAGTGATGTAAACACACGAACACTACTTAGTGATGTATGCACACAATTACAGCTTAGTGATGTAAACACACGAACACTACTTAGTGATGTAAACACACAAACACTACTTAGTGATGTAAACACACGAACACACCTTGGTGATGTAAACACACGAACACTACTTGGTGATGGATGCACACAATTACAGCTAAGTGATGTAAACACACGAACACTACTTAGTGATGTAAAACACACGAACACTACTTAGTGATGTAAACACACAAACACTACTTAGTGATGTAAACACACAATTACTACTTAGTGATGTAAACACACAAACACTACTTAGTGATGGATGCACACAATTACAGCTAAGTGATGTAAACACACGAACACTACTTGGTGATGTAAACACACGAACACTACTTAGTGATGGATGCACACAATTACAGCTAAGTTATGTAAACACACGAACACTACTTGGTGATGTATGCACACAATTACAGCTAAGTGATGTAAACACACAAACACTACTTGGTGATGTAAACACACGAACACTACTTAGTGATGGATGCACACAATTACAGCTAAGTGATGTAAACACACAAACACTCCTTGGTGATGTAAACACACGAACACTACTTGGTGATGTAAACACACGAACACTACCTGGTGATGTAAACACACGAACACTACTTGGTGATGTAAACACACAAACACTACTTGGTTATGTAAACACACGAACACTACTTGGTGATGTATGCACACAATTACAGCTAAGTGATGTAAACACACAAACACTACTTGGTGATGTATGCACACAATTACAGCTAAGTGATGTAAACACACAAAAACTACTTGGTGATGTAAACACACGAACACTACTTGGTGATGTAAACACACGAACACTACTTGGTGATGTAAACACACGAACACTAATTAGTGATGTAAACACACGAACACTACTTAGTGATGGATGCACACAATTACAGCTAAGTGATGTAAACACACAAACACTACTTGGTGATGTAAACACACGAACACTACTTGGTGATGGATGCACACAATTACAGCTAAGTGATGTAAACACACAAACACTACTTGGTGATGTAAACACACGAACACTACTTAGTGATGGATGCACACAATTACAGCTAAGTGATGTAAACACATAAACACTATTTGGTGATGTAAACACACGAACACTACTTGGTGATGGATGAACACAATTACAGATAAGTGATGTAAACACACAAACACTACTTGGTGATGTAAAAACACGAACACTACTTAGTGATGGGTGCACACAATTACAGCTAAGTGATGTAAACACGCGAACACTACTTGGTGATGTAAACACACGAACTCTACTTAGGGATGTAAACACACAAACACTACTTATTGATGTAAACACACGAACACTACTTAGTGATGTAAACACACGAACACTACTTAGTGATGTAAACACACGAACACTAATTGGTGATGTAAACACACAAACACTACTTAGTGATGTAAAAACACGAACACTACTTAGTGATGTAAACACACGAACACTACTTAGTGATGGATGCACACAATTACAGCTAAGTGATGTAAACACACGAACACTTCTTGGTGATGTAAACACACGAACACTACTT